CAGGACTCCCCAGGGGACGCCTCGTTTTGATGGTCAATTTTTCCAATCCCTGCTGGTTCCAGGCCAGGCTGTGGGATGTGCCCAGTTCCCCGCCACGAGTTGCCATGGCTGTCACTTCCCTAAGCCAGGGCCACTCACTGCCCTGATGGGGACTGTTGGCCTGAGCCACTTTCCCCTGGTCTCCCTGCCGCACTCAGGTTTACCCTCACCCCACTGACACTGAGTTCTTTCATGCGGCCTCTGCTGGGGTAAACCCACTCCATGGGGAAGGAGTCTCCACCGCCTCCGCACACGGAGCCCTCCTGCTGCACGCGGCCCGGGCACCCTCCTGCCTTTCCGCTCCCCACGGGCCGCCGTTTGACACACCCGTGGTCAAGCCAGCCCTTCTCCTGGGGTTGCTGTGCTTTGTGTGGACCTGACGTGGGAATGGGCACTCTGTGCTCTGCCTGCCCTGAATGAACACGCCCCTGCCCAGCGCCGGCTTCACCTAACCCACAGCTGGTTAGTCTCTCTCTTTGCTTTGATTGTGGTGAAGGAGGGCCCCCCAAGCCTTGCCGCCCCCGGCTCGGCTCCAGCGCTCCCTCTCACAAAAGCAGGTGCTCCGTGCCTACCAGCTGAATCGAACTAGAAACCCCAAGCAGCTGACAACCCGCGGGCTTCCGACTTGGTGCTCTTCAGAGAGACTTTCACGCCAGATCTGTGGCTCCACGTCCTTACTGGGCACCTGTAAGCACAAGCCTGCAGAGGGGTATACGTTCCCTGGGTCCCTACCTGCCTGCAGGGCCAGCAGTACACTAATACTCGGGGTGGCGGTAGCCGTGGGGGCTGCCGGGCTGCTGCCCACGGAAAGCACGTGGTGCCTGCCCGAGCAGGTGACCGTAGCCACCTCGGGTTGGTCTCCTGGCTGGAATGGGCTTGGTGGTGGCAGGCTTATCTCCTCCCACAGCACGTGGAACGGGGGCCCCGGGAGGTGAGGTTCCTTGCGCACAGCTGGGAGGTGGGTAGGCCGGGATTCAGACGCAGGTCTGTGCTTCCAAGGCCCTTGCTCTTCAAACGGCGTTCAGTGGGGTCCCACCGCAGTTGCTTGGACCTGCCTGTTCCTAAGTAGTGGATCCCCGAGGAGCATAAGCTACGCCGGGTCCTCGGAGCAGTTTCTGAGCGGTGTTTCCCGCTCTCAGGATCTTCAGCAGCCTGCAGGCCTTCAAGTGAGAAAACAGACACCACGGAGACTTGCTGTAGCTCAGGCGAGGCCGCTGGCTCTCTGTGGCCCACTTCTCCTTGGCAGGAAACCGAAGCAGAGCTTTCGGAGCAAATATGCAATGCCGTCTCCTCTTTGGAACTTCGTTTCAGACAGTTGGAAAACAAAACGGAAAATGAAATGCCTGGAACATTTCTGTGGCTCTTGACACCTCCCCTTCCTCCTTCTGCCCTTTGTGCAGCGGATGCCCCCTTTCCTGGGATGTCCTGTCCCTCTGGCCAGCGTGTCGCCTCTGGGAAGCCCTGCATTGGGCCCCGTGCTGGGCGTGAAACCTACTTTAAAAAAACAAACAAAAGTACATACAATTCTGTGTTCTAGTAAAAAAAAAAAGTAGGAGGTAACTGAAAATACATAATAAATGATTGCATATGAAATAGTTCTTAACTGAGGAAGAAGGCAGAAATTAAAAACAAACCCCCCCCCTTTGGAGTCAGGCACACTTGAGCTCCAGCTCCTCTACGTGCAGAGTATGTCTTTGAGCCCGTTCTTAGCTTCCCCGAGGCTTTGTTTTGTCATCTGTAAACTGGGAGCCATGGCACCTCCCCTGACGCTTGGGACGTTGGCTAATGCAGCTCAGGTGAAGACACTGATCGCTGAGAGCTCCAAGCAACATGAGCAGGAAATCCACCGATACCTGCTTTTTGTACTACGTATTTATTTTTACAGAAGTTTCTCTGCCCATTCTCTTGTGCTCCTTTTAAGACCTCTTTTTGCTATTAGATTGAAAAACATGGCTTGTGAGTCATGACCCACTTCGTATCTGGAAGAAGACTGGGCTGGTTTTCCATGGATGGTTGGCCGGACACTTGGATCCTCATCTCTTTTTATATAGTAAACAAATCGATGCTCCCGGAACATAGTCATTTTGCACATTGTGCAGAGGCCTCTGAATGATCCAGCCAGACGTGACACACTGGTGGTTTTGCTGTCGGCCCGTTCTTGAACAAGGATGTTCGGAGTCCTACAGATCCCCTGCTAGGAGTTTCCCACGGGCGCTAAGTGTTGTACTGTGCCTCTCGGGGGCGCAGAGTCTCCCCCCCGTGGTGTGCAGTCCCGCATGGCGCTTTGAGAGTTTACGGCATTGCAGTGTTCTCCAGAGATCCCAGATGCACAAACTGAGGACAAAAAGTAAAATCATCATCTTGCGGCTAAGGTTTTGATACATTTTTGTGCCTCTGACTCTAGGAGTCCTATCGTGCAGATAGACAAAGCGGAGGCGGAGCGGGTGCTGTGCCCTGGAAATTGTGCTGGTACTTTTATGTTCTTTCTTATGATCACAAACCCAGCCAGGGGGCCATCCCTGTTTTATGGTCAAGGGAGCCATGGCCCGAACTCGTCAGGGAGCCCGTCCGTGGCCTCTGCATACAACGCTTCCGTGGGTCTGTCTAGCTCCGCCTTCGGTCTTCCTCCCTCCTCACCGGTCACCCAGCCAGACGCAGCACATTCCAGGTTCCTCCCGACTGGAAGCACAGCATTGTTGGAAGAGTGGCAGGCACCAAACCATAGCGTGGCTGTCTCCCCCAGACAGCTGCTGTGGTGCTCATGGCCAGAGCGGGGGGCAGGCAGGCCTGCTGGTGGCTCCGTGTGACTGCCCCCTTCTCTCTCAGCTGCCTCGCTTCCTTCTGGTGTGGGTTTTGATGAGTGTACCTCTGAGACCGCAGACAGCCCTCCTGCACGCGGCTCATCCATACCCGGTTCTCTGGGAACTCTCCAAAACCATTGCGCTGGCGAGATGTTGGTGACCTATGCATCGCGGAAGTTCAGGGGGCCTCTGCACTCATGGGGAGCCCAGGCAGGACTGAGGAATGCAGGCTGGACTAGGGGCTGGGCTCTGGGCACCCACATGGCAGTTGTCTCATGAAGCCTTGCATTCTGTTTGGTGCTCTCGAGAAAGGCTGTGGGAAATGGCTCTGAGGATTACCTTAATTTGTATTTTTAAAAGAAATGGCTACTTCGTGTCTCTAGTGTTTGAAATATTCTGATGTGCTAGAAGGGTGAGAATTACCCATTTAGATCAAATTATTATTTATATAATCAGGTATACAGTTTTCCATGTCATCTTCTAGATTCTCTTCCACGAAATTCTTACAACTCCACCGTGATGTGGGTTAAAAGCCCCCCAAAGTGCAGGTGGGGAAAATGAGGCTGGTAGAAGGAGAGTAACAGACGTGTTCCAGGCATAGGCATAGAGCTAGTGGGAATTGCAGCTGGATTCCAGTTTAGGCACAGCCATTATTAATGACCGCGGGTCCTTCTAGGGCGATGGAGTGCACATTTGAGGGGAGGTAGAGGCTTAGGAAACATAGCTAATGGGATTTTCTTTTCTTTTTTTTTTTTTAAGATTTTATTTATTTATTTGAGAGAGAGAGAATGAGAGACAGAGAGCATGAGAGGGAGGAGGGTCAGAGGGAGAAGCGGACTCCCCGCCGAGCAGGGAGCCTGATGCAGGACTCGATCCCGGGACTCCAGGATCATGACCTGAGCCGAAGGCAGTCGCTTAACCGACTGAGCCACCCAGGCGCCCCACTAATGGGATTTTCTTGATGAATCACTATTACTTTTTTTTTTAAAGATTTTATTTATTCGAGAGAGACTGTGGAAGTAAGAGAGAGAGAGAGCACAAGCAGGGGAGAGGCAGAGAGAAAGGGAGAAGCAGGCTCCTTGCTGAGCGGGGAGCCTGATGGGGGACTCTATCCCGGGACCCCGAGATCATGACCTGAACCAAAGGCAGATGCTTAACCGACTGAGCCACCCAGGTGCCCCGAATCACGATTATTCTTAATAGTGCTAATATAACAGTGGTGTTGGCATCATGAACCCCAAATGCTGGACTGGGGCTGTGATTGCAGGTTGATATGGGGATGCTGTTGAGATGGTTTTCGCTGGTTTCTCCACCTAATGGCCACAGTTTCTGTGCTCTTTGAGTTCTCCTATGAGCGTTTCAAAGTCTGTCTCATTTTACTTTTGGTAGTGAGCCTACCAGGGGAGGCCATGTCTTTTCTTCTAATTGTGCTTCATAATGTGCTCTTCAGGGGAGTGTGGGCTTCCCAGGCTCGTAGACTGAGGCAGGAGTAAATCGGTACTGTGTACGACCTCATCCTCCTCCATAGAACTCTACTGTGTCTCCCACTTTGTCTGTCTGACCCGAGACTTTGAGCAGTCCTTCAAGTAGGTGCAGTTGTAGTAAGTAACTGCTGGGAAGTGGGGTGTCAGGGGTGAGGATTGGCATCTGCAGGTTCTCGGGGAGCGCAGGGGCATTTCCGAGTTGAGCCAGGCCGGGCTTGAGTTGGGGCTCTGCCCTTGCTGTCTGGCTCAGCCGGCAAGCCCCTTCTTCAGTGACTCTATTCACACCTGAAAGGTGCAACTGTCCTCCCTTTCCTGTAAGAATGATCTTAGGTGTACGTGAAACAATGGAATAGGAAGGATTGAGTACAGTGCCTGGCGTCTGATAGGCATTTGAGAAATGCTCCTTCCCGACCTCCCTCTCCTCCTTTCCTCCTACTGTGAGATGCACTGGAGTGGTATTTGCTGAACTTGTGTGCAGGGACCCCACCTGCAGCCTTTGTTCTGTGGCCTGGAATACTCGTCGAGTGAACAGCACTTTGGTGGTCACTCTGGGCTACACAGTGAAAATAGGAAAATAGTGAAAATAGGTGGTGTGCTGGATTATGTATTTCAGGGTCTTCGCCCTTAAGGAATAAACATGTTGACAGACACTTCTCTGTTCTTTGTTTTTTTTCAGTGCCTGAAACAGTATGTCGAGCTCTTGATCAAAGAAGGACTAGAAACTGCGATCAGCTGCCCCGATGCGGCCTGCCCTAAACAGGGCCATCTGCAGGAGGACGAGGCACGAGCATCTGAACAAATCTGTTTTTTTTTTTTTTTTTTAAAGATTTTATTTATTTATTTGAGAGAGAATGAGATAGAGAGAGCATGAGAAGGGGGAGGGTCAGAGGGAGAAGCAGACTCCCCGCCGAGCAGGGAGCCCGATTGCGGGACTCGATCCCGGGACTCCAGGATCATGACCTGAGCCGAAGGCAGTGGCTTAACCAACTGAGCCACCCAGGCGCCCCCTGAACAAATCTGGTTTTTAACGGGTGCACGGGCGTCCTGCGTAGCTCCGCTGGGGGTCGTGGGCTCTGCTGAGGCCGACCTGGGCTGTGTTCTAGCCCACAGCTTGTCATACTTCCTGTTTGTGTTTTTTTCTTCTTAGATTGAGTGCATGGTCGCTGCTGAAATTATGCAAAGATACAAAAAGCTACAATTTGAAAGAGGTAGGTGCCCAGGCGGGTTAGCGGGTTACGATTCCCGTGGTGGAGTAGCGGCAGGCACGTCGCGGGGAGCGCTTTTGGGGGATAGGATTGTCCATCCTTTGGCTGCAGTGGAGGTGAAAGCATCGATGTAAATTAGATTTCTGAGATGTCGTGGTCATTTTGAGTTCTCTGCAGAGCTCCCAGGTGGAAGGCCTTTGTTGGGGTTCCATGTGGCAATAAGAAGGAATCCTGAAACACAACTCGTTTGCAGGGATTTGGGTTTAGGGAGTGGTTTAAAGCGATCTGACCCTCATGGGGCACGATTATTCTGCAGCCGGATTATGGCTAATAGTTTGGGGACTAAATTCTTAGACGGTGCAGAATTTAAAAGATCCAAAGGGGCAGAAGGAAGTTGGGAGGCCACGCGTGGGTGAAAGTGTAATGACCGGCATCCTGACAGGAGAGTGTTCCCTGTGCATTTATTTGCACCTGGGGCGCGTCTGGACGCGTGGGTGCCGGGTCCCGAGTCCCGAGTCCCTTGTCTCAGTAAGGATCCCGAAGGCCCTGCAAGCTTGTCCCCTTCTGTTAGCGTGGCCCCCACAGAGGCGGACCAATTTGCCCCCACTTCTGGTAGCAGTGGGGACCAGATCTGCCCCCGCCTCCGGGGTGTCCTGCACACCCTCTTGGCAGGAGCCAGGCCTGCCACAGACCTCAGGGTTCCCCAGGAGCACTGTGTGGCATGGGCGGAGCGGAGGTGACATTTTCAAGGTGGCCTTGCCAAGCATTGAAACGTGTTGGATGCCCAGGACTGGTCTTTGGCTTGGCTCTCTGAAGTGTGCCAAGGTCATAAAATGATGTTTTAAAGAGTCAGTGGCTTCCATCTGGCTTCATTCTCATGTATATCCTGGACCTTGGGCTCACCTGAAAAGGAGCATAATAACAGACATGTTTAGATGATGCTCCTTAGGCACAATTTTACTGTGAAGACACCACATCCAAACTCTGACCTTTTCAGCTCAGACTGTAATCGTTCAAGTGCGCTCTCCCCGCTCCCTGCCTCCTCTGCATCAGACGCTCATTACTGAGATGCAGCCCTGGGCTGCACGTTTACAGGAAAACACTCAAGATGGGAAGAACGCAGAATAGAGCAGAGGAAAGGATCAGGAGATTCCTAGCTTAGCTGAATGTGCAAAGGTCTTTCTTTCCTTCCTTTTTTTTAAAGAAAGGCTAAAGATAGTTGCATTTCCTCTTGAGGGTTACTTCTAAAAAAAAGGCAGTGTGTGGCCAGCTTAAAAAAATGAAACAGGTTTCTGATGACATTGAAATTGTTTTCAAGAGCTCTTTTATTTAAATGGCATATATCATTTGGTTTGGGGTGGTTTATAGTTTAAATGTAATACCATGTGATACAGAAGTCAGCACGTAGAGCTATAAAATTGATTAATTTGGATTTCTGAGACTTTCAGGCTCTTCTGAAGATATTTTCCAGAGAGAATCTAGACAGAAACTGGTAGTTATTTGGGTTATAAGAAAATTAACTTTCTCTGACCTTGAATTTCATTTAAAAATGCAGCTGGATAAATTTTTCTACCTAATAATTTCAACTTTGTGCTTTCAAATATTTTGTAATTTCAAGTGCTTTGGCTCAGCCAGGGATTTTTTTTTTTTAAACTTTGCATAAAAATGAGGCCAACTTGACTTAGGTGAACAAAATCTCTCAAGCCTATTATTTGAGAACATTTTGCTAGCACTATGTGAAAAGCAACAAAAACACAAAATGAACTCAGACTTAATATGACCAAAGACCTGTCTGAATGAAATGTTAAAATGTTGGAGCTAAAGTAAAGTGATTGCTTCCAGCAAGTACATCAAACAAGTTTTGAGATGTGATCAGAAGGCGAGTTTCAGTCTTTTCTGGTTTTGAAATGCAGTCAGGGAGGCCGCCCCGGGAAGAGAACCCAGCTCCCAGGCCCTCTGACAACACTTAGTTCCTAATCGGTTTAAGTTGCAAACATTGTCTCCGTTGGGTCTTAGCACATCTCCTCTCATGTAACAGCCTTGATCTTTCTTTAAATTGGGAGTACGGTTGACACACAACGTTATATTAGTTTCAGGTATTGCAAGCTTGATTTTCATCTCCTCTCCCCCACTCCTCCAGTTGGCATCTTTGGCAAGGAAGCTGTGGGCTTGTTTTTCTTCCCGAGTGCCCACCTGCCCCTGTGGCAGACTCCAGAGGCCTCTGGGGGCAGGCTCTGCAGGGGGCTCACTCCCTTGCACACCCCACCTGTGCTCTTGGCTGAGCAGTCACCCTGAGAGGCTGCAGGTGTTTTTTCCCTGTTCCTCACTCCTGAGGCTCCTGCCATCCAGAGGCGGGGACTGCAGCCTCCTGGGCTCTTTATCCTTGGGACAGCAGGTCCGAGGAATGCTGACATCAGGGCTTGTCCTGCGTGGTGTCGGTGCTTTCCTCGAGAGTAAAGCCCAGAGAGATGAACTCACTTGCTGAGCTGCTCCATCCGTAAGCAGGCCTGACTGGGGCCGGGAGTCCCCACAGGGTGGGATGGATGCGCTGCCATGGGGCTGCTGCGGCTGGAGCGCGGGCCTGGTCAGCTGCGTAGTGAGAGTCAGAACCCCATCTCTCTTAGCACGCTTCGCCAAGAAAGCCACTTTAAAAAGAAAAGCACCTTTTTAAAAAGTCTTGGGCCTTTTTATAAGCAGAGCTATTAGGGACCTGCTTCCTTTATCTATGACTAATGTGTCTTGGGGAGATGGAAGATGAGATTAGTTTCTAAGGTGTGCCAGAAAATAGGCTGCTGGCCTTGTTTGAAGACCTATGCTCTACCCAGACGTGTCTACGTAAGACATTAGATACAATGTATCGAAGATACAATGTGCCTAATATATATCGTTAGGTATATATGTGATCCATAGCCCTAGATGTCTGTACTTACATGCTTCCCGAAAAGAAGAGCTCCCTGGTGCTCCCCAGTGTGGATTTTCTTACTGATCGTTTCCTGTCTTGTACGCCAGCTGGCGGAATTCGGCATGGGAGTGATGATGGGAATGTTAGTACAAGTCCACGGGAAGAGCCCTGGGGGCTGTATTCGCAGGGTTTGAGGTGTCCTGGCCTCAGGGGAACGGTGTTCGCCTTCGGCCGGTTGGGACAGATTCTTTGCCCTTTTCCTCTCTGATAGCAAATCTCTCCCCCGGGGACAGGCAGTTCCTGTCACAGCTCCACGAGGACAAAAGTCACAAAATTTAAGTCATTACCATGGAAACCTTAACTAGGTCTCCTTGCCCTGCGCTCCTTAATATAACTGGGCCTCTGCCGATGAGGCAGCCTAGTAACTGCCTTCGCTGTGCCAGGAGAGGGAGTTGGAGGTGGGTCGTGGCCACGAGGTGCGGGAGTGAGTGCCGCCCTCCCTGACGCCGCAGACTCCTCACGGTAGAGGCCGGGGCCCGGAGCAGGGGGATCCCGCAGGGTCCGTGTAAGGGCAGCGTGCTTGCCAATGCTCTCAGACAGACCAGCACTGACCACGGTGTCGAGATGGAAGAGAACAGAGCAGGCTGAGGACCTCTCTCCCCGTGTTGTGTGGTGGTTAGCGTGCTAAGTGCCTGCACCCTGCATTGCCCTTCGTAGGTGCTGTGCTCATAGGGGACCCCAAAATCTAGCTGGGGCGAGGCTGGGCTCCCCCAGAGCACTCATTAGCACCAAATACAGGGAGCCGTGTGGGGACCGTGATGAGGAGGTGAATCAGACCAGGGAGGGGAGTGCAGCGGGGTCACCTGCCTCGCTTTCATTCCCCAGGGTGGGGACCTCCATGGAGGGCTTCTCTCCCTCCTCCTTTCTCCTGTCCCCTAGGCTCAGGTGAGCTCCCCACACATGTGCCTCGGGGGCAACCACTTCGTTGCCCCACAGCCACCCCCAGATCTGATGGCCGCAAACATTCCTAGAAAAGCAGACCCTGAAACTCAGCTAATGACAAGAGCTAATTCTCCTCATTCACTCACCATTAGGAACATCATGAAGGTTTTACATTACTGTAATGAAGGTCAGTTAAAAAGGAGCACATTTTCCTGGATTCCAGAGATCCTTTATATTAGCAGGTTCTACTAAATCTTCCCTAGACCTACCAGTTTGATAGTTTCCTGCCATTGATTAATTCTCCCTTCCAAACAACAGGTCGAGGAGGAGTTAGATTAGAGCAGGAGTGGGTCAGCTTTGGCCAGTGGGCCCAGAGTGGGCCGGCCCATGGCTTGGCATTGTAAATAAAGTTTTATTGGGACACTCATTTACGGATCAGCATGGCTGCTTTTGTGCTACAATAGCAGAGCTGAGTCGGTGGAGACAGACCGCATGACTCTCAAAGACTAAAATATACTCACTGTCTGCTCCTTTGCAGAAAATGCTTTCTCGTTCCTGGAATAGAAGACTGTTTTCAGGGCTGTACCTGACACAGCTTATTCCTAGAGGGTTGAATCTGGCTTCCCATTTAATTGGGGAACATGGCACACCTACGTGTGTTTTGTGGCAGCCCGTGTAGGTGATGTCTGGGCGCACGTCCAGCCCGCATCCAGCCCCCAGGCAGTGGTAGATCCCAGTGCGTGCAAATCCTGTTTTCGATGCAGGTGAACTTAACCCACCCCTGGCTGTTGGTCCGTCACATGGCCAGGAAGCTCACAAGTCCCTTTCATTGCCTTCCAAGTTTCCCTGGCAGAATCCAGTGGTCTCCGGTTCCTTCCCCATAGCCACGGCTGAAAAGCTTCGAAACCAGTGGCCTACTTGAAGGCCTTTGAAAATGACCCCAATCCTTTGGCCTGTGATAGCTTTTTGGCAGAGCCTCAGCATTGTGTCGTTTCCCGTCAGGTTCTCCCTGCCACTGCCCCTCGCTGAGGATTCAATGTCACCCCGGACAGGCAGTGAATGAAACGATTAATCGGGTTCACGAAGAAGGGCAGCTCGGGACTAATCAGGAGTGGAAACGGGAGGGTATCCTGTTTTTCAAAATAAACTCCATCACTAACTTCCTATAATGGGGCTTCTTAGCAGCTTGGCCTCCACGTGGAGAGGCAACCTGGCCATTTCACACAGGAGTTAATTCATGGCTTAGGTTTAAATCTGGGAGGGGGAACAGCCTTAGGCAAATGAGTCATTTGATGAGAAGAATTTGGCCACATTCCTTCCCTCCTTTCTTTCCATCCTCCTTACCAAACGTTGTCCGAGGACCCGCTGTGTGCCTTGCACTGGGCCAGACTGTGAGGCCCAAGACTGAAGACGTGGGCCTGACTTCAGGATGCTGCGCCCTGGGGAGGTGAACAAAGAAGCAGAAGGCGCACCTGGACCATGGCCTGTGGGCACTCACAGGAAACCCAGACCGGCCGTCAGGGGTGGACGGGGGGTTCCTGGGAGCCACCAGCATTCTGGGTGCAGGCAGCAGCATCTCTAAAGGACACTGGGTGTGCTTTGGGTGGGATCGGAAATGGGGAGCGAGAGGAGGGGAGGAGAAAGAGCCAGACAGGCACCAGGTCGTGAAGGACATAGAAAGAGTGTTAAAAATGTGAAGCCACGCGCTGATGTGATCCCTCAGTCCGAACACCCCATGAGATCCTTCGTGTGCAGACGTTGACTTGCCCATTTTTGTCTCCCTGTGCTAGAGGTGCTCCTGGACCCCTGTCGGACTTGGTGCCCGGCTTCCGCCTGCCAGGCCGTGTGCCAGCTGCAGGAGATGGGGCTGCAGACCCCGCAGCTGGTGCAGTGCAAAGCCTGTGACATGGAATTCTGCTCCGCCTGCAAAGCCAGCTGGCACCCTGGCCAAGGCTGCCCAGAGACCTTGCCGATCACCTTCCTTCCCGGAGAGACCAGGTACCCTCCGCACAGCTCCGGCGGAAGGCGTGGGCGGAGGGCTGGAGAGGAGGAAGAGAAGGAGGCCGCTGCTCCTTGCATGTGTCTCCGGAGACATGACTGCCTCTGGATCAGTCTCTTCCTCTTGAGCCTCATTTAGACCTGGGCGGGCGGGTGGGTGGGTTGATTATTTTTGAGAACTGATGGTGTGTCAGGTACTGTGCAAAGCAGTGGCGTTTTAATGGTGCAAAGGAAGCTGACTGCGCTCGGCCTGTCCGGAAAGACAAACCAATGGATGGCCTATTACCGTCAGGAGTTTGAAGTCACATCGTACCTAGAGTTTTCCAAGACTCCATGGTGTGGAAGGCAATCTGAGACGGGGACAGGGACAAGAGTAGGTGGCCAGTAGCTACAAATACCAAAGGGATCGCCAAAAACAGGTTTCCAGGTGCCTGAGAGCAAGGGCCTGCACTTCCCTAGAAAAGCGGGGGAAACATGGCTGCATCTCTGCCCTCTCGTCGCCTGGTCCGACCCTCAGGCCGATGCCCAGGTGGACACTGCAGCATCAGTGTATGTACCTTAAAGTTAAGTAGGATGAATCAGAAGGAATTGGTAATATTCAGCTATTTGTGTCCTATAAAGTCTGTAGCACAGATGGGTTCCCCAAGATGGTGTTGGCCCTGCGCCTGCTGCAGCCGCGTTCTCGATCGAGGGACTCCCACCGGCCACCCAAAGGTGTGGTCACCAGCTGCTCCCTGTTTTCCTCTCCCCATTCTGCTGCCCTGCTCCCACTCCCCGCAGCTCCCCCTGCGCAGAGAGCCTCTTGGCCCATCCTTCCTCTCCCGAGTCTGCACGTTTGAGCCTGTGCCTGCCCCTCACCACCCTCCTTTCCCTGGAGACTCCTTGCCGTCCTCAAATACAAGGCTCACGTCCGTCCTTCGTCAGGATACCCCGATCCCAGGGCAGAGCTGCTGACCCCACCGTCTGGGCCCCTCACTGGAGATGGTCTGTATTGGTCACAACACCAGCCACACTGCGCTGGAGGTCATCTGCGTGTGCGGCCGATTCCTCCAGTAGGCTGAGCTCCCCACATCACGGCCTGCGCCTGCTTGAGCTTTGTCACCCCGGATCTTGGCATCCAGCCAGCACTCAGATGCCGGGATGAATCGCTTACCTCCTATTTCCATGTAGTAGGGTTGTCTTACGTTCCATTTTCCCTTAAGCCATGCTCCCAACCACCACCTGACCAGCTTCAGTCACTACGATGTGTCTGCCCCGTGAAGGTCTTGAAGTGGTCAAAGACGCCTTATCTACTTTCATAAATTTGAGTTTATAGTAAGGGCTGTTATTAATAATAACTTGAAATATAATTCAGATGCCGGGAGATGTTTGAAAACTGTCGTCCATACCACGTGAATTTCTAGGCACGCCACACCACACCAGCACTTAAATATTTGAACTGTTCCCATTTTAACGTCTCCCTGAGAAGAGATGGTCTTCATTCCCCACCGATACACTGCCCCCATTCATGGAATTTCCTTCGAAATGAGCTTATGAATCACATGAGGAAATTAGTTCCATTACTTTAAGGTCACAACTGGCTTTCAAACTGAAACAATGTTATCTAACCCGATAGCCCCCCTCAGTCTCTGGATTTGGTGCCTCGTGACTGGGGGCTCTTTGCAGCAATCTGCAGGAGGGCACAGCTTGTGATGGTGCGGAGCTGACTGTGTTCCCGGGGCCCGCTGGGGGCACTTGCGTCTGACTGCCCTGGCTCATTCGGAGTCGTGTCCTGTGCAGCCAGCTTGCTGTGTGTTTTGCCTTCACATTAGACAAGAATTGGAGCAGGGGAGAGTGTGCCCCTCAGAGAGACTGCGATAACTGCCACTTGCTGAGTGCTGACTGCCCCCTGCCAGGTTCTGGGTTGTGTACCATGTGCACGGAAACCCGTTCAAGCTTCGCTGCACCCTGAGGTGCACTCCGAGCAGCGGATGGGATGGGCACACTGCACGCTGCTGATACCTGAGCCGCACGGCTGGGGCTTGTCTGTCTCTGGACCCCATGCTCCTCGCGCGAGGACACTCTGCCTCCTGCCGCCATGTCCTCACTGGTCACCACCTCCTGGTGAACAGCCCAGAACCGCATTCAGCTGGAGCCCACGCCTCACTGAGGAGGCGCCTCCCCTCATTATCAGATAGCTCATACTAAAGTCAAACGATTTTAATCGTTATATTTACCATGATGCTTGTGGAAGATCCTTCCACCAGAATGCACTCCAAATGCCAGAATTTGCTCGCTTTCAGTGCATGTATGCTCATGAGTGCATTAGGTTCTAGAAGGGCTGCTCACTCCAGTGGGAGATCATTTTTCTCCTGGTGATGTTGGACTGATGCAGTGAGTTCAGATAATACAGCAGATGTGTTCCTATAGTGATAACTGCTTGTAGCAGTTTACCATTTTTTCATCCACATGTTCTCATGCACATATTTTTTAGCTTTCTTTTTAAATTTAATGGCATAGGATGGACATTCTTCCGGAGTCACACCAAAATATCCATGTCATCTCTTTATTAGCAGCATAGAATGATTGCTGTCATTTATCGGCCAGCTTCACCCATGCTCGATGCTGCGGTGCGCTGTCGTGTGTGATCTTCCAGCATGCTCGCCCTGAGAGGCCCGAGGCCCAGACACGGCCAGTCTGCATAGCGCCAGCACGTGACCCCGGGCTAACAGCCCATCACGCCAACCGCTGCAAGCCAGACTTCTCAGGAAAGTGATTCTGTAAAGACAGGCCCAGTAGATCTAACTGATCGATGAGCATGTTTTTGTAACATTTATTTTTTTCTGACAATAGCAAAGTGCATAAAAATTATCATCGATCCTTTGGAAATTATACAAATATATGAATGAAGACATAAGATTTGACCATCACCCCATGACGCAGACACCTTCTCTATAAGCCTTTGTCATAATTTCTTTTGTCTACACATATCTAAACTTAAATACATACCAATATTGCTTTTTTCCCCTTAAATCCAACTGGCTGATCCACAGGTTTTTTTTGGCGATTGTTTTATGGAGCCTTAGTTTCATTTTATAACATTGAATAACAAGTGGCCTTGGCCCCTTAGAGTTGCACTAACAGTTTTAGCCTTGCTGGTGCTGACAGGGCCCCTCCCCCCGCCCCCCCCCGCGGGGTCCCGCTGAGCCTCGCGATGATGGAATCTCTCCTGCAGCTCTGCTTTCAAAGTGGAGGAGGACGACGCGCCCATCAAGCGCTGCCCCAAGTGCAAGGTCTACATCGAGCGGGACGAAGGGTGCGCCCAGATGATGTGTAAGAACTGCAAACACGCCTTCTGCTGGTACTGCCTCGAGTCTCTGGACGTGAGTACAGCCTTGAGCTTGGCTTTGAGGTTCAGACTTGCAGTGGGAAACACCCTAGCCATTTCCTAAAGAGCTTAGAGAATGTGCCTGGGAAACAGAAATAACATTATTAGATGTTTTTCTGTGCTTATGAAAGTATGAACTCATCAAGTGCAGTGGTACCAGAAGGAGTTCTGGGGAGCAGAAGGTCAGCTCAGGCTTAGGATTCAGCTCAGGTGGATGGGGTCTTAGGATCTTAGGTTTTATCTGTGGGGACCGTCTTGGCTCAGTCTGCTGTAACAGAATACCAGAGAGTGGGAGCTGAAAAACAGGCATTTATTCCTCACAGCTCTGGAAGAATAAATGGTAGCCCAAGATTAGGGTGCCAGCAGATTTGGTTCTTGGCATTTGACCTCAGGGCCAAGAGAGACAAGAGAACCCTCCTCTTGGTTTACAGATGGCCACCTTCTCACTATGTTCCCTATGTCCCCACGTGGCAGAGAGAGAAATTGGTGTCTCCCCCTCATTGTATAAGGACACTAATCCCATCATGGGGTACCTACCCATCTCCTGACCTCATGGGAACCTAACCACCTCCCAAAAACCCCACTTCAGATATCATCACATGGGGCCTGGGGGATTCGGCTTCAACATATATGAATCTGGGGGGATGTAAACATGCAGTGCACATAGCAGGGGCTGTTAGTGGAATAGGAAGGATAAACAGAGGCAGGGGCCAGACAGGGAAACGGGATGGTGAGGGCACAGTTACTTTGGTCAGCTTCTGTCACCTTCAGGGCAGAAAAACACACACTCTGAGCCATCTGACAGAATGGAAGTTCCCAGCCCCATATGACCACCTTCTCGCAGGCATGCCCTGTGCTGAGTGTTTCCCAAATGCTCTGTACCCCAGTGTCTCTGCACGTGCTAAGTTCCTGCTGGGAGCAAAGCACCTGTTTTTTTCTGGAGCTTTAAGGCCAGATGTGAAGGACACTTCTTTTCGGTTCCACGTTTTCCTTCTTCACCCATATTAGGAGAAAGGGCATCTTGCCAAAGTGATGACATTCTGACTTTAGTTTTAGAAGAGTTTATTTGTACATGGGCTTTTTTTTTTTTTTTAAGATTTATTTATTTGAGAGAAAGTGTGCATGCGGTGGGGAAGGGCAAAGGGAGAGGGAGAAAGAATCTTAAGCAGACTCCATGCTCAGTGCGGACCTGACCCCGGGCTCCACCTCATGACCCTGAGATCATGACCTGAGCCAAAACCTAGAGTCAGATGCTTAACTAATTGCGCCACCCAGGTGCCCCCGTACATAGGTTTTTAAAACTCTGTTAAGTAGCAGAAATAATCTGTTAAAATCATTGTGGTTAGTGACTGTCAAAGCAAATCAAGTCATGTGTCCTATGTATTTATATATATCTGTCTTATGCAGCAAGGACCACTGTGTCCACCTCTTCCAAAAATAGTATTAAGCCATTAAGATCTAACTAAAATAAAGGAGGGTTGCCACAGATCCCTGCTTTACCTTGTCAGGAGTTCGGTGGTCCAGCCTGCCCCTGCTTCCCTACCTCTGTGACATCAAAGCGTTGGTCGGGGGAAGTGTCCCTCCTGGGGGCCACATCAGAGCAGTCAGCTTAGCTCCTGAGGCCGAGAAGGGCCAACTTCTCAGGGCTGCCAAGCTGAAGGAGGAAGGGTCCCTAACAGTGGGCTAAGTTGAAAGTTTGCCTGTTGTCCTCAGGATGGGCCTACAGATTGTCAGGAAGAAAGTAAGTGCCTATTTGAGATGGAATCTTAAAGAAGGTAATAGGTCGTAACTTAAAGGTCACTTTTTAAAAATATTAGATAGATTGTTTCTCTTGGGGTTTTTTTTTTTTTTTTTTGAGAAGTCTGTTCCTTTATTAACTAAAAATTACTAAATGTACAGTAAAACCGTGTGTAGCTGAACAAATCGTGGGAAGATATTACCCTTTTGACATCCTGGAGGTTTCACTTTCTTATCCAAGGCAAGTTTAATAAATCAGTTTGGCAAGATTAATCTTCTTTAGCTTAGATCCAAACAAGTGTGTTCTGTGACCTTGTATGGTGGTAAGAGATGTTTAGAAGGATGTCTCAAGCACTACAAAGTCCTTAGGGCCTTAAAGTTTTCATATACGTGCACTACATATGTATACAATATATGTATGAAATTATATTATATATATATATAGTCTTTGTCTATATTTTATATATATAGTTTTGTATTTTACCATGTTCCAATTTTAGGGGGAAAACTGATTTTTAAATTAGGTTGTATCATCTAGTATCTGGTCTGCAGTTTGCCACTCCTTACAGCTTTTCCTGAAGGGGAACAGAAGGGAAATGTCAGTTTTATTCTGTGTTATCCAGTCTCCTTGAAGAGTTTTGGGGGAAAGTATTGGAAACAGGCTGACAGAAGGTATAGTTTCTGCGGTGATCACTGCCCTGTTTGATGAAGCTACAGGAATGGGAGCTGTCTTCATGGAACACAAGGCTGTTGACCCTGCTCTGGTCCCTGGAGAAACATCCTGTCTGTCTGTCTGTCTGAGTTCTGAAGCCCGGCAATCCCGACTCTGCGTGAACTAAGGACGTGGGCACCACCCTGCCCTTTTCCACCTTGAAAGTCATCATCCTCCTGGCCAAGTGTTTCCTGTTTGTCTTTGTAAACGAAGAGCTGCTGAAAAAGGACCCTGTGGCCTTAGAAAGCAGATTCTCAAGGGGGAAGTTAATCCAGGACGATCACCGTGATTTAAAACAAGTGCCCGAACACCTGGCTGGAGGCCTGCCGGGCTTCTAAGACAGGAATGCACGTCACTTGTCTTTCTCTTGCACGTCTGTACTCGGCAAGGAGTTCTAGATCCTGTGAGGCTGCTTCCTTCCATCATGCGCCTTATTCCCCCCGTCTGCACCGGGCCTGGATCCTCACAGGTGCGCCCATCGTGCTCCCTGGAATCCCTGCTGTGATGCCTTCCCAGCCTCGGCCACACAGCTGCAAGGGACACTCGCACTTTCTTTCTTTCTTCTATTTTCTCGGGGGGGGCAGATAGATGATATTTATTAAGGTAATTGTTTGGTGCCCACACTGCACAGTTGGTTCCACACACCCATTTTATTTAATACGTGCTTTCTTTCTGTGAGAGTTGGAATTATTTCCTTTCCCAAAGGAAGACTTAACAGCCTTTCCCAAAAGCACCGAAGGAGTGAGGAACGAACCAGCATCTACTCTTTCATCTTTCAGTCTCTAAAAAAACCAGTTTGGGGTCAGACAAGCCTCAGGCCAGAGTTTGACACAAAAGGCCCGTGGGGGTTTATTTTTATCTTTGAACATCTCCGTGATTGCAGCTTTCTACACGTTCCATTGTTTCTGTTTCCAGCCAGGGGCTTAATGAGACTTCCCTGAACAATAGTCAAGACAAAGGGTCCCTGTCACAGAAATACACCTGGCAGGTCCTGGGGGTTGTTCGGCCCAAGGCTGTTTCCAATAAACTTAAAGTCACAATGAAATCATTTATATTCTGTAGAAGCATCTTAGGTGGAAGGTACCATTTGAACAAGCTTCCGTTCTGTTCAGGAAGCACGCCAGCCCCAGTGGACTCCTCTGAGTGGCAAAGCCCATGATCTGGAGCTGGGGATCGCCCTGTCCATTTTTTTGGTTTGTGTTTCAGAAAATTAATTCAAAATTAATTCAAAAGCTATTCAGCAGCCTAGGGTGCAAGGCGTTGTGATAGGCAGTCTGGGAAAACGAGACCTAGCAATGGAAAATGAGCTAATCTCAGTGTTCGAGTGAATGTCAGCAGAAAGGAAAGCATAATTAAGAGTTCAAGGAGGGGCGCCTGGGTGGCTCAGTCGGTTAAGCGACTGACTCTTGGTTTCGGCTGAGGTCATGATCTCAGGATCCTGCTCAGTGTTGGGCTCCGCGCTCAGCGGGGAGTCTGCTGGACATTCTCCCTCTCCCTCTGCCCCTCCCTCCGCTCACACGCTCAATCAATCAATCTTAAAAAATAATTCAAGGAAGGAAGGGTTCACGGTGGACAGATGTTGTCCGAAATAGCTTCAGAGAAGATGAAGCTCCGGCTAGAAGAGGCTTTCTCTTCATTTATGCCTGGGCTTCCTCCCACAATTGAGGGGACTCGGGGAAAGGGGGGCGAGGCAGGTGGTGGCCGGCTGGGACTTCCAACCTCCCTCAAAGGCTTCCGGCTGCGACCCCAGAAAAGCCAGGGTTTCATGATGCGCACTGTGCGTTGTGGCACCAGGAGGATGCCCTGTACGGTCCAAAGACTGCAGGCTGGCACTGGTCTCGGGAGGAGAGCAGGGTTTGCTGACTTTGCCCCCCAGTCGGGTTCCAGCAGAGGTGATTTTAAGGGCCGGACGCCAAGCTGAATGCGCGGCATGCCACGGCTCTCGGAAGAGGGACTTCCCGTGCACTCAGCGACACTGGACCCGGTGCTTATGTATTTATTCCTTTCTCAGGAGGAGGCTGTCTGTTTACACCGTCCGTTAAATGAGTAAACAGCCGTGGGCCCCTCCCTCCTTGGTACTGTGTATTGAGCTGTGTCTTTGTACATTTAACAGGAGAGAAAATGGTACTTCGCGTTGGGTGGGCGGGGAGCAGAGGGGTTGGGTAGCAGACCCGTTCCTGCATGCTCGGCTGGTGCTTGCTCAGGGTTGGGGTGCCAAGCACTGAGCCGGGAACATAGTTCGAGATTGACCCCCGCTGAGGGGCCCAACTCCCAAGAGCCTGACAGTGACTGGGGGTCGGATGGGAGGCGAGAGCGCGGGGAGGGCAGCAGGAACAGGGTGTTTCCGTGAGTCAGAACTCACTTCAGACGGAGGAATTGTAGGTGGCAGATGGTTCCCGAGCCAGTTGTTGCTGAGTAATGAGTGCGCTTTTGTGGTCTGAGCTGAAAGGACGAAGCACGTCGCAGGTGAGGAGCCCGACAATAATGGAGGAGGATGAACTGGAGATCAAGGGAACACTCTAATCCAGGGGTAATCCTGCCGGGCGGGCGGCAGGAAGATGTAAAGGCAGACGTGCTCCCGTGGAATCAAACAGAGCCAGGGCCCCGAGCCTCTGACCTACTTGTTCACAAGCCTGCATCACAGAGATTGTCTGCCTGCAGAAACCAGAGGCTGACATCTGGAGCAGGGCTCCCTCTAGTGCCCAAGGCCAATGCTCTAGGGAGGATGGAGGACGCAGGTCCCGCCGGGCGTGGGTGTGTGGGTGCGTGTCCTTCCTCTGCCGCCCACTCCTCAGACCCCCACTTGCTTTGGGCCTAAAGAAAGAAACTCGGCCCCAGCAGGACTCACTCACCGAACCGAGGGGAACCTGCCATGACCCCGCTCTCTCTCTCCCTCGCAGGATGATTTCCTCCTGATCCATTATGATAAAGGACCCTGCCGGAATAAGCTGGGCCATTCCAGGGCATCTGTCATCTGGCATCGGACACAGGTAGGAGGTGACTCACCTGGAACTTTGATCTCCGGGAGAGAGAATGTGTGTGCGCACCAGGGGGTTGGAGATGCGCTGTACAGAAAAGCAGAGCTAGTCAGTGTGGGTCCCGCCTGAATTTTTCTTGGTCTAACATCATGCTTATGGAGGCCCTGGCCCAAAGTTGTAGTAAATATGCATCGTGTTTAGCACGTGACAGCTCCTTAACGTCAGACTGGATTACCTGCGCCTTACCCACGGCTTTGGTGATGAGCCACTGGGTGGCTTAATCCTTGTGTGGCCCTTAATGAAGAGCTTTCTCTAGAGACCTTGAGGTAAGCAAGTTAGTCCTGGAAAGGGGGACAGAAAGAATGGAAAAAGTCCCTCCCTGGTATTGTCTGAGCAGCCTGTGGGGTTCACAGAGGGCCAGTGCATTCATTCATGTTGATTCATACGTGCAACACCCATTTATTTCCTGCTGCACACCAGGTAGTCTTCTAGGGGCTGGAAGTACTCCAGTGAATAAGATAGATGTGTCCCTGTCTTACAGGATCCGCGTTCCATGCAGGGAGAGGGATGACAGGTGCTAGGAGTTCAGCTGGAGAGGAGATGGGATGGCGTGGCGGGGAAGGACCATTGGAGGTGGTGCCCATGGTGGACTGCTGAGTGCTGAGTGATATTAATCCTAAAAATAAACTTTCAGCAATTTTACCAGCAAAAATGGGTTTATTTGGGAATAGCATAGGGATGCCACTTGGGACAGGCAAGCTACGGCTAAACCATAGGCAGGTCTGGAGAATAAAGGAGAGCAAGTCTCTTTGATAGAAGAAAGGCGGCCACTGGGAAGGCTGTTACAAACATCAAAAGTCCTTTGGAATAAGCTGGGAGATCCAAATGTCGTGGCCTCTCACTGGCTGAGTTGTGAGCATCTCTCAGTGGCTGGGCTGGTCCTGCAGGGATGGGGGTGGGGGTGGGGGGTGGGAAGAAACTGTCCTTCCTCCTGCTGGGGCAGAAAGGAGTAGCTAAAGTACTATCCCAGTGCGGGTCCCTGTTGGGTCTGCCCCTGAGGACAGGTGAGCTCTACCTGCTGGCCCCCAATGCCATTTTAGATGAGGTTTCCTTTGAATAATTTTCACAGTAATGAGGAGGTGCTGGCTGTGAGAGTGGGGGTTGGGGCAGAGGGGGAGAGAGTCAGGCAGAGGGGGAGACAGGCAGTGGGGAGACAGGCAGGGGGAGACAGGCAGAGGGAGAGACAGGCAGAGGGGGAGAGAGTCAGGCGGAGGGGCAGACAGGCAGAGGGGAGAGAGGCAGCAGGGGGGACAGGCAGGGGGGACAGACAGGCAGCAGGGGAGATAGGCAGGGGGAGACAGGCAGAGGGGGAGAGAGTCAGGGAGAGGGGAGAGGCAGAGGGGAGAGAGTTAGGCAGCCAGGGGGGACAGTCAGGCAGAGGGGCAGACAGGCAGAGGGGAGAGAGTCAGGCAGCAGGGGGGACAGGCAGCAGGAGAGACAGGCAGAGGGGGAGAGTCAGGCATAGGGGAGAGAGGCAGAGGGGGAGACAGGCAGGGGGGAGACAGGCAGAGGGAGAGACAGGCAGAGGGGAGAGAGTCAGGCAGCAGGGGGGACAGGCAGCAGGGGAGACAGGCAGAGGGGGAGAGAGTCAGGCAGAGGGGAGAGAGTCAGGCAGAGGGGGAGACAGGCAGGGGGGAGACAGGCAGAGGGAGAGACAGGCAGAGGGGGAGAGAGTCAGGCGGAGGGGCAGACAGGCAGAGGGGAGAGAGTCGGGCAGCAGGGGGGACAGGCACAGGGGACAGACAGGCAGCAGGGGAGACAGGCAGGGGGAGATAGGCAGAGGGGGAGAGAGGCAGAGGGGAGAGGCAGAGGGGAGAGAGTTAGGCAGCCGGGGGGGACAGTGAGGCAGAAGGGCAGACAGGCAGAGGGGAGAGAGTCAGGCAGCAGGAGAGACAGGCAGAGGGGGAGAGAGTCAGGCAGAGGGGAGAGAGTCAGACAGAGGGGGAGACAGGCAGAGGGGAGAGAGTCAGGCAGCCGGGGGGGGGGGGACAGTCAGGCAGAGGGGGACAGTCAGGTGGAGGCCATCTGTTCTTTGTGCCGCTGGTTCCAGGGCCTGGCAGGCGACTCCTTCTTGCTCTGCACTCACCGGCCTTCGGGACCGTGGTCCTGCCAGGCCTCCCTCTCCCCACCTCTACCAGGCCCTGGTGTCCTCCTGCCCTCTTTCCTCCGCTTGTCCCAGCTCAGTGCACGGACATGCTACACTCTTTGGCTACAGCCTGGTCCAGGGCGATGTCCTTCGTGAAACCCCCATCCCGCCTGTCACCAGAGACCCCCTCCCTCACCCGGGCTCTATGCATTTCTTTCAGCACCAGTCCCTTACTGTGACTCCCTCCTGTTTTCCCCTCTTGAGCATGTGTCTTATCTCTTGGGAGAGACAGACTGTCCTCTACAGCAGGGACTTGTTTTGCATCTTTGTGACCCCTGGGACCCTGGCCCAGGCCTGAACCAGACGTATGCTCTGGGAAGAAACTTGGATGAAAGCAGGAGCGATGGGTTTGGCTTTCTCATGACGGGTTCACAGCCTCCCTCTGCAAAGTCCCTCTGGAGGGACCTGCGTCCTTGCTCCTTCAGCTACGTTTTTCTTTGGGTGGGACAGGAAGGAAAGGGGCCGGTCTGGCTGGCCCCTGTTCTCCGCAAATCCCATGGAGCGGCTCGTGTCCAGGCTGTGCTCCCGGGGAAGCATGATGGCGCCTGGGGGGTGGGGGGACAGGGAGTTGGTTTGTGACCATTCAGAGAACGAACCGTTGGTGTAGTTGGGAGGTGATGTGACTTGTCCCCTCTTGAGGGGACACAAAAAAGCTCCTGTTAAGAAAAGTGGGCTCTGGGCCTGGAGCAGTTGTGTCTGCCCTGGGGCACACATGGTGCCGTTGCCCGGAGCTTCTGCCCAGTGTCGGCTTCATCAGCCTCTTGGGGAAAGTCTTCTCTCTGTGCCGCTCGGGGCCTGGTCCAGTGCACACCTCAGCGGTGCCCCAGACTTGTCCCTGAATTCGGTGGCCTGTGACTCCCCATTTTTAGGGGTTGTGATTGCTCGTCCCATATAATTTGTTGACTGTACAAAGTTCCTGCTCCTTAGCTTTCCGGCTTTTAGATAGAAATTTAGGTGAAATTGTTTTAAGAGATGTTTTTGAGAACTTTAGTGCGCTTTCTTGTGATCATTGTAGGCTGCTCTCAGTATTTTTGTGGGAGTAAAAATATTACATGCCAAATACATTCTACCTAAAACCCTGTCAAATGGAGTTTTTTCACGAGGTGTCATGCCATGAACAGAAAAGATGTGTCTTTGTCACGTAAAGGTTTTGTACGATTCCATTCTGTCCCGGGTGGCGTTTAACAGAGTCTTGTGCTGAAACGGTGCTCTTGCGAACAGGAAGGGGCAGTCGCAGGGTGGTTTGGAAGGCTCTGGCTGCAGGGTGTGGGGAGATGTCCTACTTACCATCAGCCACAGAATCCTGGATGTGAGCACGAGACGCTCACGGCCCTGCTCTTCATCTGCCCCTTGCTCGTCCCTTTCAGCACGGTTGCCGTGAACTGTTGGCCCTGTTTCTGGTGCTGGCCCGGAGGGCGGCCATCGTGCGTCAGATGGAAGGTCCGTTGGCTCCACACTGGATACATCTCTTTCCTGAGGACGTCAGCGCCTGACGGGAGGGTCTTCTCCTCACTGACTCTGCCTTCGCTTCTGAGCAGGGGATCCTCGGGCCCCCCTCCCAGTGGAGGGGGAGCTCACTTTTAGCCAAAGGATGGCATTTAAGGTAGCCAGTGGATTACCGGTCTCTGTCTTCACACACGTGTGTGGAGCTGTGCCCACGAACACCGGCCGGGGCCAGGCTGGAGGGCGGGAGTGCGATCCGCAGACACCCCTGTGCGGGGGCCTCGTGCAGGGAGCTGTCCTAGGGTACTTTTCACTGAGCTCAGTGAAATGGGCACGAGTCGCCCCTTGTACTTACCCAGGATGCCCCGTGCCTTCGGTCTTAAGCCATCTCAAGACCGTTGGCATCGCTTTTTGGCCACAGATTTTGCACTGGTGAGACGAGAACATTGGAGTGGACTGTAATGTAGGGTCAAAAATGACTTATTATTCTGTTTATGGTGAGGTGGCACCAGCCCTTGTGACCCCAGTGATGGGGGAGCCCTCCTTGTGTGCTCCCGGCCCCCCCTGTGACCACGTGGCCCCCTCGGCTCCCCGTGTGGGTGTCCGACCATGTACAAGCGGAACTTAGATTTTCCCTTGAGATCCCTTCCTCTTCCACATCCCCCTCATTTCGGGACAGGCCTCTCCAGCCTCCATGTCACTCAGACAAAAGGCCGGGGTGACCTGGACCCCCCACTTCCTCCCGGGCTCACTCCCCTGCGGCCAGTGTGTCTCCTCTGTGTGCCCTAAACCCCACTCCCAGGCTCGCTCCCCTTCCTGCTTCCTCTCAGGCAGCATCACTGTCCGGCACTCTTGGAAATGCGTTCCTTTGCCTGGCCGTGGCCGGCCCTCCGCCCCATGGAACTCACGGCCCGTTTTGCAGGCACCTTGCTGTGCGAGTCCCCAGAGCACCCGCGGTGCGGAGGTGGAATGTGGGTGCCCCAGAGCCCTCTGGAGCCTGGAGAGGAATAGACGGAATCGAGGAGAGGCCCATCTAGAGGATGCAGGCAGCCCGTTGGGGGCCACCCAGAACCAGCGCGGTGGGATCCGAGTCCCCTGGAGAGGGGTGCTGTGAATCCATGTGTCCGTCCCACTGAAGCCTCCATCAGCCCTCCCTCCCTCTCCACTCCACCTGGGGGCTTCCCTGACACTCAGCTTTTCCTGACTCTCCTACAAACCTGTGCTCACTTCGGCAGCATATATACTAAAATTCTACAATCCTGACACTCCTCCCCAGTGTCCTCCTTTGTTAGGGGCTGAATTGGGGCCCCTCAGAATTCACGTCTTGCAGTCCGAAGCCCCATTGCCTCAGAACATGACCGCATCTGGGAGTAGGTCCCTCAGAGTGGTAATTAAGTGACAGTGGGGCTGTTGGGTGGGCCCTGATCAGTGTGACTGGTGTCCTTCTAAGAAGAGATTAGGACACAGAAAAGCAGAGGGACAGCTGTGTGAGGATGCACCATGGTCTCAGACTCTCGCCCCCAAGGACCATGAAAAGACAGAGGTCCTGTGTTTGGGCCCCATCTGTGGTGCTTGGTTATGGTGGCCTGAGCTGATAAGTGCCTTCGAGATGGCCTTCTCTTCTGCACACAGATGGTGGGATGGCTTAATTCGGTTGCTTTCCTCAATCTGTGCTCCCTCCCTGGGAGGCAGTCACTTGCTTGAACATCTGTGTGCCGATGGTCCTGAAATCTGCTGGCTTCTCCCCAGAGCTCAAGATTCATGTACCTACTGCCTCATAGAAAGCTTCACGTGGGTGCCCGTGGGCTGCTCAAACTCAGAACATCCAAATGGAACTCATCGTTCTTCTCTTATTACCAAGATGGCATGTCCATCCCCTCAAGCCAAAACTGAGTGCAGGGTTCTTGGATCCCTTCAAGTCTTGCTGATTTTGCTTTCTGAACATCCTTCTGGTCTGAGCCTCTTCTCCCAGTCGTCCTCCTCCCTCCCACCTGCCTGTCCTGGTGGGAGTCCTACAAGGGGCTCCTGGCTCCATCTTCCCTCCTGTGGACCCGTCCTCCACAAAGCCCCTGGAACTCACCTGTCCTTGGTTTCTCAACAAGACGAATGCTAAGCTTCTGAGCGGTGATCCCGGGCTCCCTGTTTTGGCTCTGCCGGACTCCACCCCGACGTCCTGCCTGCACATGTCTGGTTATCTGCATTCCCTCTACTCCACTAGAGTGTCTTCCAGCCGGTCTGAGATTCTCTGCCGCCTCAGCTCCTCTGCACCTGGCTCATGCCGGCTGGAGCTGCTGCCTCCCCGGGGAAGCCCCCCGAGCTTCCCAGCCCCTGTTTTCTGCATCTCGCATCTGTGTCTGGGCCGTTTTCACCCCTTGGTCATGACTAGTGTCTGCCAGCCCTCCACCAGAACCCGTTCTTCCAGAGAACAGAGGCAGAACCTCATGACTTCAGAGCAGCAAATAGTCACTAAACAGAGGAAAGAGGAGCTGTTACCAAGGGCGGGCGGGAGAGAGGCGTGACCTGTCCCCTAGTGGACATCACTGTAGCCTCGGCTCACTGTTGGCACTCTGAGCTCGTGGAATCCCTCGCCGCAAGCGCAGACCCGCAGTGGCGCCATAGTCGGTATTTAACTGTTGGCTCCCGGGCAGGGGACGCCCCGATCTGCACGCTTGCCGTGTCAGCTGCTTCCTGTGCTGTAAACACGCACCGGTGGCTATTTCAGGCTGCCACCGTGATGTCCCTGCAGGGGGAGTTGGGAAGAGACCTGTGAGCGGCCACAGCCCTCGGCCCTCACCCCCGTCACCGTCCCAGCGTCTGCCACATCTAGCCCATGCTCGGCAGGCACCGATGCTGTGTGCATATGCCAAGCGTCAGTGAATTAAAGACGCTCCGTGCATTCACCTTATGTACCTTTGACTTTGGCTTATTGTTCCCCAGCACTGGGGTATGGCCTGTAGAACTCTCCAGAGGAGAGGATTCAGAGCGTACCGGTTTCTGTGCTCCTGAACATCTATTGCATGTTTATTATGGGAGATGCAGGGGGCTGCGCGTGGTCAGAGAACCTGTGTTCTACTCTGAAGCTGCAGTCTGAGTTTGAGAGGCTCAGCCTGAGCAGTCAGCCGGGCCTTGGAGTCTCAGAGACAGCCAGTATGAACACTGCGGCATCCCCCCGTGATTCCCTCGGAGCCCGGACCTGCTGACCCGTCCTGCAGTGTATGTGTGTGTCCTGCAGTGTATAATCCAGTGCATGACACACGTTTGTGACACGCTCACTCACCGGTTGTTTTTGTTTTGTGATATTTGCTTCCTATCTCGTTCTTTACCATTGGCTGCTTTCCTTCTGGCAACATCCTCATCCTCCATCCAGTCGGCAAGAGATTGGTGACCTTGCTTACGAAATGGCATGCAGAGTAAGAGGCAAGAGAGGGTGAAAATGAAGGTGTGTTATTGGCCAAGAATGGGAACATTTGGTCAAGGATCTTGGTATGTTTTTGACTGCAAAGAGCCCCTGGCTTCTTTGGGACTGACCGTGTGTTCCAAGTGGTAGCGATTGTGCGAGGGCCCTCGAAATAACCCCTTTCTGGCGTTTTCATGTATTCTGAAGTATCAGTGCGCACATGCTTTTAACAAAGCCTGATCTGATTTCACGTCCCGTAATTCCACCATCGACATTATGTTCAGACAAACGGAGTTAGCCGCCTGGGCAGGAAACACAGGTTCCCAGCGTTGGCAGCGTGATTTATAAATGCAGGGCAGTGTGTATACGATCGTTTTCAGGCGGAGATCTAAGTGAAGGCGTACTTTCACACATCTGGGGTGCCCTAGCCTGGTTTCAGGCTTCAGAGCTGATAACGGCCCTTAGAGATCTTGTACCTCATTTGTTTATATTTGAGAAAGATGGGGCACAGAGAGACAGGAACGCGTCACATACTTATCATTGCGAACACTAGGTGGCGGTCTGACTCTGTCCGCAGATTGCAGCTGGGGCTGCCGTCCGCCTGGGAATGCGTGCCGCCGGGGCAGGAGGCTCTTTTGACCAGCCACACTGCCCGACTTCGCTGACAACATGTCTACATTTACTTACACCTGGGCGTAAGCATGTGTTATAAAACAAAGTCAAAACGTGTAACAGTTTTAAAAGCAGTCCTGGGTTTTAAATCAGGAAAGGACACGGGTCTGCTTCCTCCCTGATGCTCTGTGCCTGAGTCTCTCTGTTCTCCCATCTGGAATGCCCTAGCCTAGTCTTTCCGGTGCACTAACCACCTCCTCATCTTTGTAATCTCAGTCCTCCTTCCTCTTAGCAGATGTCTGACCCTTGGGTTCCCTTTATACTTGGAACGTGATGGCAGTTTCTGTAAAACGTATTGTCAGTTGGTTAAGTCTCAGTCTCTTCCCAGCGAACTGGGTGCTCTAGGATCCATGATCTGATGTGTCTCTGTATTTGTAATAGCTAGTACAGTGTCTGGCTCAGGGGAGGCTTGTTGGTTAACTGGATGTATAAATGGGTGGTGGTTTGGGTGCTTAGATAGAAGGGTGGGGGAAGAAAGGGAAAGGAAGAAAAAGAAATGAAAGAAAGGGCACGGGGAGTGAGGGGCAGGAAGTGAAGGGAAGGGAGTATTGGTGGATGGGTGGCTATATGGACGGATAGATGGATGCGAGGATGGATGGATGATATATAGTTGGATGGATGGATAGATGGATGGATGGATGATATATGGATGGATGGATGGTTAGATGAATGGATGGATGGATGGATGGATGGGATGATGATGGGGGATGGACAGTTGAGTGGATAGATAGCTGAGTGGATGGATGAATGGATGCATGAATGGATGCATGGGTAGATGAATAGTGGATGAGGGATGGGTGAATGGTGGGTGCATGGATGGATGGATGGTTGATGGATGAGTGGATAGATGGGTAGATGGGTGGCTGGGTGGATGTATATATGGATGATGGATGGGTAGAGGATGGGTGGGTGGATGGTTGTGTGGTTTATACTTCAACTATGGAACCTGCAAACTAGCCACCTTACCCTCTGCTCCTGTGTTTCCTTCTTGCAGGTCGTGGGCATTTTTGCTGGATTTGGGCTCCTGCTATTGGTGGCCTCGCCTTTCCTGCTCTTGGCCACTCCATTTGTACTTTGCTGCAAGTGCAAGTGCAGTAAAGGTGACGATGACCCATTACCCACCTAGAGGAAGGCACGATGCTGGAACAAGACCCCTGCCTCTGGGAAGCGTGGCTCTCCCCCACCCCACCCCGCCGTCCCCTCTCACTAAACATCTTTCTTGCCTTATGTGCCCCATTGAGCTTCACAGTGTCACGCCGGATGCCGTGATTTCAGGGACTGATGTCAGAACGTTTGCCGAGGCCCCGGGTGCAGTCACCTGGGCGTGGGGAAGGCAGGCTGGCGTGGGTAGGGCACGGCGCCACAGTCCGTCTCTGCCGACTTGACAAGGGAGGTGCTGCACGGAGCACGCCGGGCGGTTTTCTCCCAGTGGGTACGGACTAGGAGTGTCTGGTGGTTGCTTAAGAGACCCTCTCGTGCAAAATGTTGTGCATCTGCTCCTTGGTGTCAAGACGGTGCCACGTTGCTGAGAGAAGAAGACTTTTGGGGGTTGCAACTCACCTCAGACAGAATCCGGTAATTCTGACTTGAGAAAAGCACTCTGTATGACAACTGTTTTTATTACTAATGGCGTTTAGTAAAATCCTTTTTAGGTTGTTTTTTTTTTTTCTTCCCAACTGAGTAGTGAAAAACCAACAAGGTGCATCTACACCATCCTATGCCTTTCTTGAAATGTGCATTTTAGGAAGATATCGCTAAATGACTTTTCTGGCTCGGCCACTTTTCAGGAGATTTAGAAAGCCTTACGCGCTCTTTGTGTTTTTCTTGAAACTTGTAACGACGTCTTAAACGCTATAAGCAGTGTGCTGTTATAAACATGGGTTCCTCTGTTGTTGCATTTCTTTGAAAATACCAATGTCTTTAAAGGAGTATCTTCATCATTAGGTTTTCCTTTTGTTTTTTGTTTTTCTCTTCTTTTGGGGCTTCTCTCTTCTCATCCAGGTATGAGCAAATATTTTTTAATGTCTTTGGAAACCAGATGCTTTCCTCGGGAATCATTCTGCTGGGAGTCACTATGGTTTGGCCTCTCGCCTCAGCCTCCTCGTGTAGACTTGGAGAAGGGAACAGGGCTATTGGTCCTCACCAGCAGGGCTTCCTGGAAAGACTGGAGGACTCCCGGGGGCTGTGGGAGAAGCTTCCCAATTTTCAGTTTTTTAAATGACTAAGTTATTTTGGAGAAATCTGTGTCTTACGCAGTTCCATGTCCTGTTGCTAACCATTTTGCCCCACTGAAAAAAAACCTTCCATTTCACTTAGTTATTTCGATTAGGGGATCTTACCATTCAGCCTCTCCCAGGCCAGGGGTGACTGTTAACGGTAGCAGCAGAAGGCGCGGATCGGTAAGACCACACGTTCCATCGGTTGACTTTTAAAAAGTGGAGAGAGGCTATTCTCTACAGACAGTTGGCTTGAATAGGACTTTTAAAACCGCCTGTGCTTTTAAGGAGCCGACTGATTGCATTGAACTTGGGACTTCAAAAATAATAGGCAAATGTTGTAGGTTTATTACAGTGGAGCTTTTTAAAACTTACTACACATTCCACAAAGGAGTGAAATGGAAACAAAATCAGACTTGTTTGCTTGTTGCAAGCACATTTGTAACACGTGGTGGGTTTTTTTGTATGTTTGACTTCTATGTTTTTGTGTTGGCCTCCGGTCCTGGTTTGCTTCCCTGTATAGAAACGTCTTCCTTATTTCTTAACGTTTCATAGGTTAGAAACAGTATCACTTCACTCTCCACCTGTAGTATTTATTATCTTTATGAAACTGAAGCCATTAGGAAACTAGTCTGTGTCAAAATCACACTCAGAACATTCTCCTTACGACCACGGTTGTATTTTTAATTCAGTAATGAAACAAGAACACGCCTGAGATCGTCTGTCTGTTCAGTGGAGCCTGGGCACGTGAGTCTCTGTACCTCGAATTGTTGCAACAGGGTCTGGTGGTAGATGGCTTTCTGGAGAGGGTGACACTCCGGGAGTCCTAGGCTTGAGCCCAGACTGGGATCCATGAATGCACTTGTCTAGCCAGACCCTTTAAATGCCTATTAAAGACAGCAGCAGGCTCGTGGCCGTTTCCAGTATCCACGGGGCAGGCCTCGCCCCATCCTGGCCCACCTTTCCTGTGCGAGCTGCTTCCCATTGCGTGTTGTACAAGTCCGCCCAGTAGTAGTACCCCTTTCCTTTGGGGTGGAACCAGAGCCTTTGAAAGGATGCATTCTCTGGGCTCAAGCTCAGATGTCTTTATTCTTAGCGGATTGGGCTGTTCGTCTAGCCTGGAGAAATCCATGAACAAATCATGCACATCCATAGCCTCAACCATCCTTGTGCCTTTCACCTCTGACACGTTTCACAAGCGCGTGTTTCGACCCAGGTAGGGACCACAGAGATTCTGGGGCCGGCCGCAGCCAAAGTCGCACCTGCTTGCTCTGAGTCTTTGCACCAGGCATGCCTCTGTTTGCTTGGTTTGATTTCATAGTAACACAACTAAACTTGTCAGTTCCTTAGGAAGATACCAGCAGGATTGCATTGAGCTCTTGCCTAAACTTGCATTTCCCCCGCTGACTCCTCCGATTTCAGTAGGGAATGCCATTCCCATTGTTCATGGGGATGCAGTATTAAGCACGCATGATGTAAAATGTAAACAGAATGTGGGAAGATGGCCCGCGTCTTGGATTTTAACCTCGCCATCACTCCCGGGGGAAACTTAGGGGGTTCTACACTTAGTAGGGGGACTGTTCTATGGCAGAGCTTGTCTTAATTGAAAATTACATTCACTTTCACGGATGCTTTTCATGCTGATGTTCTGGAAGCACATGTACGTTTATTTCTTTGGAGGCCTTGAAATTCTGGAGGGGAGGGAAGAAGACCCTTTCATGGCTGACTCGACCGGTGTCTGGTTGGGGCGTCGCCAGAGCGCATGGCTGACCTTAGGTCATCTGTGTCCCTCTGACCCCATCGTGCAGTTTTATTGGACGTGCCTGGTCTCTCGGTCTGGCTCTGTCGTGCCCCGTGCAGCCCGGCCCTTGAGCTTTGTAGCGGTCACCGGAGGCCAGTGCCCTCAGAGAGGAGGTGCGGCAGACGTTCACGTAGCAGAGATTGACTCAGGATCTGAGCATAATCAAATCCTTCAGTTGCATGAGCCGCTGTCCAGATCCGTTCTTCTTCACCCCCAGGAGTAGCCGGAGACTGGGGAACCATCGTGTGGCACCCTTTCAAAGGGGAACAAATTCTCTTTACAGCATATTATTCCATAAAACCAGTTTAGGAACCAGGCTGATTCCTGATTAGAACACAGGGCCCACGGGGAAAGGGATTCTCAGCTACACAAAACTTACTCCAAGATGAGTCTATCTTTTTCATCTATATTGCAGTTAAAAGTTATTTAACAGATTAGAAGAGGAGATTTTCCCTTGGTAGTCTTTAAAAATTAGGGGATTGGAAAGAACCAGGGTAGGCTTTTTGTATGTTTCTCAGATTCTCATTTATTAATAAATACCCCTGTATATAAATATATATATAAATCAGTGAAATCATCAAGGGAAAACATTTTGCATGTATAAAGCTTCATGAAGGTCTCTTTAAAAAATACCAAAGCTTGTTTATTCCTTCTAACTAACCTAAGCCCTTATGAAAATACATGAAATGAGGAGATTATGACTGGTGTTGCCAAAAATGCCAAATGGAAAAGGGCCTGCACTCAAATATAGTAGCTAATGCATCAGTACTAAGAGCGCATGCTGTTTGGGTACGTAGAACCCATGGGCTCCGTTCTTCCTTTGGTTTGTATAATCCTGTCTTCCACACTTCTGGGAGCCTTTGGTGAGGGGTAGGGACCTGCCACACGCCTGACCTTTCCTTCATTCTTTGCTCACTTTACCATGGGTGTATTTTAATCTTGTATAAACATATGCATGAATGGGTCACGCACATGTATACAGTACATATTTGACAAGTGGTGGTAAAAACAAAAGTTCGGTTTGTGTTTTTTGAAATGTCAGTCCACTTTGTGCCACTAACACTGTGATGTATAAAAGAGCTGTTTGAATGCCTTTTAATGTTGTGTTTTGTACTTTGGAATCACATGGAGAAGTTTGATTTGTAATTTCAATACATATTTTAAATGTATTGTGTCTTACGTAGTTTGTCCCCCCTTTAGAAGGGATTTCTTTTTAAAAGAGATTTTGGCTGGAATACAGGTTACTTTTGTAAATCCTGTCTGGCTCCATCTTTTGTACGTTCTTCGTTGACACCTGGCCTGGAGATTGAAAATAAGATGATTGGAGCAGGAGGGGGAGGAGGTGCGGGTGGGAGAGGGATCCCACCGCTGGGAGAAGCACTTTTCTGTTCTGAGGTTTTCTCTGCTGGGAGCATTCTCAACTCTTGGTGCCAGACGGATCTGAGTGGTGGGTAAGTGGCCACGCACCCTCCTCCCCTCCTCATGGTGCCGGCCCAGTAACATGCGTCAGCATCTCCACACTGGCTTCCTCCCTGCCCGAGACAAGTACTTAAATCCTGTCCTCACTGATGGGCAGCATCATAACAATCAACGAGCATCCTTTTACTAATGGGGAAAAAAAGAATAAACACAGATGCTGTTTGTTTTCATAGTAACTCTGATAACTCACCTTGATTTTCATTCCCTTCATTTAAACTTCACGGAAGAATATGTACCTCATTCATTAACATGAAGCAGCAGGCTAGGAATAGGCACCTGTTCCTGGTACTCTGGTTACATTTTAAAAAACATCCTTAGAATCTTAAGGTGCAGATCAGACGAAGTGTATTCTGTTAACCAGTGATTCGTTGCTGGCCACAAAGACACTCGTCCTAGTCACTAGGAGATCCTGGTCTGGAGGGGAGGCAGATCTGCCGAATGGTGATGAGAATGAGGTGTGGCAGGTGCTATGGTGGTCATTCACACAGCAGGCAGCCAAGGGGCAGGTCAGAGGAGGCTGCTGGGAGGATCCCATATGTCACCTGGATCTTGCGAATGAGGTGTCAGCTAAGTAAAATGCAGGACAGGAGTGTCCAAGGGAATGGCCGGTCCATTAAGTGCAGGAGTTTGGTCCAACTGGTATACCTGGGGGCCAGTTACTCAAGTGTCCAACCTCGAGGGCACAGTGTGCACAGCTTGGGAACTCAGCCTTCATTCTAAAGCTATGAGTGATAGAGGGCTGTCCTACAAATTACCACAGACCAGGGGCCATAACCAACAGAAATTTATTCTCTCATGGTTTTGGAGGCTGGAAGTCCAAGATCAAAGTGTCAGCCACTCAGAAATCTCAGTCACTGCTCATCACTTGGTTTGTGCAACCTGTTCCCTTTCTTAAATCGCTCGGGTGTGCATTTTCAGGATGGGGCCGACACTGCGTGGGAGACAGAGCAGCAGGATCAGGAGTGTGGCCACCGCGGTCAGAAACAGGTCCCAGATGTGCTATCATCCGGGCACGTGACTGCCTGGGGCATCTGTTTCCTCATTTGAAAACGAGGGTAAAAGTACCTCACAGCATCTTTCTAAGGATCAATGGGGAGGTTCAAGTCAATTGCAGAGGAGAGTGTTTGGTAGGATGTGAAGCCGTGAATGAGTCCTCACAATGATGAGGATGATGGTCCTATGGTCCTATCAGGAATGCCCACTCACCTCCTCCAACTCCCAAATACCAAAGCACTACCCCCCCCCAATGTTCTCTTTCCAGAACCCATGACTCAGATGGGGCCTGACCACTTTCCTGCCTGCATCACGGTTCACACTATTTGCGATGCTAATGAGTCGTTATACAGAGCTCTGGTTAACAGGAAGGAAAATGTGGTAAAATTCTCCACGTGGGAAACTCAAAAGTCATTCACTTGTTCCCCAGGGCAATTATCTGTGTCTTTTTTGATACATGTTTTTATTTATTCTACTAATTTATTTTTGTCACTGACTTAGAAAATCCACACAACGTGCATAATCATGTTCCACACCACACTCGAAGGACCCAGCAGGCCATAGTCTGTTTCCATTCCTCGGGATCTCCACGTATCCCAACTTTTATGAAAGCCTCAAAACGTAAAGGGGAATAAATTTTGGGAGGTTCTGACAATTGGACTCCATTTTATCTAGGAATTTAGGAAATTAACATTATTAACAGGAGATTTTCATGTGTGTATCATCAACTCCTACCATGGTGTGATATACAGTAGGGGTCTATTAAATGCTTGTTCCATGAAGGAATTCAGCTATTGCCGTGTGTGTGTGTGTGTGTGTGTGTGTTTGGGGAAGGAGGGTCAATCACTTGGGGTCACTTGGTTAAAAAAATCAACCATCAAATTTGAACTGGAGGTGTATAGACAGTCTAGAAGCAGATGTCTCATTATAGGTGTAAAAAATCACTATTATGAACTGAGACCCTCTTATGAGCCAGGCACTTTGCTTACTGCCCTACCCTGGTTAATTTGAATGCTCAGAGACCTGCCAAGATAATCATCTCCATATTACAGTGAGGAAACGGGGTCTAGGGGAGCCCACAGACCTGCAAGGAGTATCGTCTCCATATCACAGTGAAGAAATGGGGTCTTGGGGAGCCGTCGCCACAAGTGACACCAATAGGAAGCAGCCGCATGGGGAGGGACCCAGGGCGGCCTGCTGGACCAATGTGTCCCCACTACACTGTGTTCTGGTCCTCCCTTTTCTGATCCGCCCTTGTCAACAAGCAGAGACATCCCTCCATGGTATGTGGTGGCTTGTTTGTCTTGTCCCTGGGAGAGGTTGAACTCTGTCTGAAGGTAGTACTGCTTTTGAAGGCAGAAGATTCTGGTCCCACGAATACTTATCCTGCTCAGTGAGTGAGAAGAGTGGCCCCAGGGAATCTCAAGGGGAAATTTGTTCCTCTAAAGGCATACAGGCCATCGTGGATGCTTTCAGATACAGTGAACAAGTCTCACCATCCCCTCCCATTTATCACACAGTGACCTTTCAGGGTGTCTAGATCCGTATCTGTCCCTCCCAGATCAATATTGTGTGCAGATGAAACTGATTCCCACAACGACCCTGGAAAAGAAAATGTTACTGTCAAAATTCTTCACTTTATATAAAGTGAGGGAAACGGAGGCTTTTGTTAAGAATGGGCCCAACGACAGTGACTAGCAGACTGTGGAGCAGAGACCCAACCCCACAGTTTGTAGAAAGATAACTCAGGACCTGAGGAAAACCCCAAGAGCCATGTCAAGGGCAAGGGCCATGGTAAGCAGGGGAACCTCTCTTCAGAAAGCATTTCAGAGATGGGGGAATAGGGCAGCTTTGCTGGGATCGGGGGGAATTCACAGCAGCATGAGGACTTTCCAAACTGGGCTTCCAGGACAGCAAAGTACTTCGTAGGACAGGATCATCTTGGAAATGGACATTCCGTATGGTATGAAATGGAATAAAAAGAAGAGCCAGGATGAAATTGAAAACTGCAGACATAAATGTTGGCAAAGGCCACTCAGCCTCTTCTGGAAGAGATTAACTTTAGCTGAAGGCCAGGTATGAATGTGCAGGTGATGGATGAAACAGCCGACACGGTGCCATTGCTCCTACCCCGGACACCTGCTTTATGGAAGTCCCTGATGACGAGAATGCCAAGAGATGCATAGCTTCCTAGCCCCTGGCCTCATGGGGCTTGAGGTCTAGTGGGGTCTACAGGCAAACAAGCCACTGTCCTACCTGAGAGCACAGGGACCGTGGCAGGATATACATTCTTAGTGACAAAAGCAATAGATGAGAAGTGACTAATGAGGTCACATAACGTCCCTCTAGGGAGAGACAATCTCTGGGGATTTTGTTTTCTGGTTCCACCTGACAGTGAAGATCCTGAAAAATCATCCTTGTGATCCATGAAGGGAAAAGGACAAAAACTCAACCACACTCGGCTACTGGAGAAATTTTCTGGGACAGGAGGATGAGGGTGCAGTTAGAGTGTGATCCATTTCTCTGTTCTGCACCTTGGATGCGTTGTCCATGCACAGTAAATGTTAAATAATAATTTAATGGTTTTTTAAATTAATGACAAAGGAGTAATCAGCATGTTAATGAAACTCGCAGATGATACTAGATGGGGAGTTATTACAAACACCAGTTGGGAGAAGCAGACAATGCAGAGGGACAGAAAAGAAGGAAAGTTACAACCAAGCAAACTTCTGGTTTGCAAAATGCAAGCAAAAGCACCTGCAAAAAACCCTCCACTGTGGGGAGGTGCAGAGGGCGAGGCAGACGCAGGTCTGGACGGGAGAGTAGCTCTTATGGTAGTTTCGCCACCTGCCCGCTGCCGAACTCAGCCCACTCCACCAGTCCACCTCAGGGTCGCTTGCCCCGGAAATCTCTTCTAGGTCCTTGTAGCTGTGAATTCTGCAGCACCGCTGACTCCACTTCCCGCCTTCAGTGCGCTCTGAGCAGCGTCCCCAGCCGCACCCCTCAAGCTCTCCCTCCTGTTAGGGAGGTTCCGTTGCATATTTTGTGGACGGTCCTTGAGCCAACACTTAATTCACATCCCATGGCTTTCCCACCTGGTTGTGGTCCCCTCTTCCTTCCCTCCATGTCTACTTTGGAGGAGTCATTGGTCCTTCCTTGTCTGCAGGTCGCAGGTATCCGCATGTGTTGCACTCAGGACCACGCTAACCCTGAGCACCAGAAGCTCCCCGACAGTCTGTTTGTCTGGCGCAGCGTGTGGGCAAGCTCCCTTCGGAGCTCTTAGTTCTGTGGAGCCTCCGTCTGCCCAAATCCCTGACTTTCCCTGCCCGGGACGGCGCAATCTGGCCCCTGAGAGCTCCTGCCGGTCTGGTGTTTATCATACACCAGCTGGAGGGGAGAGAGGAGGCTTTGGGAAGTACGTTACAGCCTGAGTGGTGGCAAAATAGAGAGTTAAACTACCAAGCTCTGTCTTTGTGTCACACAGAACTCTCCGTATCCCTTATTGGCGACGGTGACCCAGTGCATTGTGTTATATCCAAGCTATCTGATGGCCGACTCGTTTTCTCTTGATCTGTCTAGCCCCATCTTAAGCACAGCACCTGATGCCCACTAAAGACTTAGTGTTTGCGGATCGAGTGCTCTGTGGTGCATTCCAGAATCAAGATTTAGGGACAGCTTAGTGAGGAAGGACTTTCTGACCTGGAGGAGCAGAAGTTGGGTGGACCCTTGGGCAAGAGTGTCATAGAGGCTCCAGGGTGTCGGGATCAGGAGACCTGGGATCTCATTCTCAGTTCATTCATTAGCTGAATGAACTCGGATGAGCATTTTCTCTGATTCTCAGGTTTATTTGCCAAATCG